CTATAAATACGAGTATAAACAGCCACGACTCGCTCGAGCCCCGATAATCGATATGATGAACTCATTAAAATGCTCATTACTTATATTTTCTAACTAATGTAGATCATGACTTGTGATTTCACCACCGGATATCATACAATTTACATCAATTCTCCAATTATTTGTCACATGATCAATATTTCTGATTTTCTTAAGTTAGTGGTCCAATGCTTGAGTTCGTTGCATTGGAAAAGAAGCAAAATATTGGAGAAATCAACAGAATGGTACAAATGCCGTTAAACGATACTTGTGTCGTTCTGTCTATAAACACGAGTATAAACAACCACAACTCGTCCGAGCCCCGATAATCAATATGATGAACTCATTAAAGTTGCAGGATGGACATGCCATTTACAACATTTAAGAGACATGCTCATTATTTATATTTTCTAACTGTAGATCATGACTTGTGATTTCACCACCGGATATCATACAATTTACGTCAATTCTACCGTTATTTGTCACATGATCAACATTTCTGATTTTCTTAAGTTAAGGGTCAAATACTTGAGTTTGTTGAGTTGGAAAAAAAAAAGGCAAAATATTGGAGAAATCGACAAAACGGCACAAGTGCGGTTAAACGATAATTGTGTCGTTCTGTATATAATCACGAGTATAAGCAACGGTGACTCGTTCGAACCCTCAATAATCGATATGATGAACTCATTAAAATTGCAAGATGGACATGCCATTTACAACATTTAAGAGACATGCTCATTACTTATATTTTCTAACGAATATAGACCATGGCTTGTGATTTCACCACTTGATATCATACAATATATATCAATTCTACTGTTATTTGTCACATAATCAACATTTCTGACTTTCTTAAATTATGGGTCCAATGCTTGAATTCATTGCATTAGAAAAAGAAGCAAAATGTTAGAGAAATCAAAAGAATGGCACAAGTGTCGTTAACGACACTTGCGACACTTATGCTGTTCTATCTATAAACACGAGTATAAGCAGTCACGGCCTCTCTGAACCTCGATAATCGATAAGTCGAACTCATTAAAGTTGCAGAATGGACAAGCCTTTATAACATTTGAAAGATGCTCATTACTTATATTTTCTAACGAATGTAGATCATGACTTGTGATTTCACCCCTAGATATCATACAATCTACGTTAATTCTACCTTTATTTGTCACATAATCAACATTTCTGAATTTCTTAAGTTAGGGGGTCCAATGCCTGAGTTCGTAACACCGAAAACAAAGCAAAATATTAGAGAAATCAACAGACACGATTATAAGCAGTTACGACCCGTGTGAGCACCAATAATCGATAAACTGAATTCATTTAAGTTGTAAGATGGATACGTCATTTACAAAATTCGAGAGATATGATCATTACTTAATCAACATGAAAAAAAGAACATCACAAGTGTCGTTATTGTTTTGAAAACGGCAGAAGTGTCATTACGTCTGTAAACACGATATGAATAATTGATGTGATGTATATTTGAAATTAATTTGCTAGTAAATCATTAATTTTTGATTTTTGAACATCATTTCTATATTTTTTTAGGGAAAATACTCAAAACGACACCAATAATTTTTTATTGTAACAAAAAACAGTAAATTTGTCTTTATGGCTTCATCGATTTTAAGATAATGACAAAATTAATTGTTCCAAACACTATAAATAGTTTGCATTTCAAAATGACAAAAATAGTACATCATGACATCACCATCCTTTTTCAATATTACAAAAGCAGAACATCATAAGAGTAAAACCTATAACAATTATATCAAACACTCCTTATTACAGTAATTGCATGTGTACATGAAAATAAGTTCAAATCAAATTTCTTGCATGTGCATGTACATGTCCCCCTGTCCAAATTAACAATGAAACTTTCCATTTCATCATTCGTATCTCATATGGGCTAAGAACTTTCACTTCGAAGCATTTTGACTCGTTATACCTATCATACATCTTTTCCTCCAAAGGCGGGGTGAGGTAGCTTGTACATTTTTCGGAATCGACATGTCTATCATGAAACCATCTTTGCATCTTTTCTCTGATATGCTCGATCAAAGCAAGTATAGGAAATTCTCAAGCACTTTTCAACAATGCGCTCAATGATTCATCATTGTTTGTGGTCATACTATTGTATCCGATTCTATTGAAATGTGCTCTTGACCAATACTCTACACTAACATCATCCTCTAAGTACCCTTGAATTTTCTCGTTTAGATTGCATAATACTTGCATATTGATCTCAAATTTTTCTAAACTATATGCCTCTATAGTAGCTCTAAACAATGGCATAATATAAATGCGAAGAAATTTGCTCTTCAAGTTAGTTTGCAGATGCCATATACAATACCCATGATGTGCGTTAAGATAGATGTTGCTAAAACCATTTGATATGATTGGTGCACGATCAGATATAAAGACTAGCTCGTCCGTGTCACCGGTTATTTGCCTCAATTTTTGAAAGAACCAAGTACATGAACTATTGTTTTCTGAATCTACTATGTCCCCACGCAAGTGGATAAATTNGTATGTCCACTTCCTCTTCGTGTTAATGTTCGTATTACCATTCTTAATCGAACATTATCGAAAATTTTACAGTCTGCCTCGTTCGGCGGTGGATATATATATATATTCAGAATAAGCTTGTTTCCAGTAAAAGGAGCTATAAAATGAAGAGTAAAACCTGTAACAGTTATATCAAACATTCCTTATTACAGTAATTGCATGTGCACATGAAAATAAGTTCAAATGAAATTTCTTGCATGTGCATGTACATGTCCCCCTGTCCAAATTAACAATAAAACTTTCCATTTCATCACTCGTATCCCATATGGGCTAAGAACTTTCATTTCGAAGCCTTTTGACTCGTTATACCTATCATACATGTTCTCTTACAAAGTCTAGAAGAGGTAGCTCGTACATCTTTCGGCATCAACACGTCTATCAACAAAATGTTAGTTGGAATATAAAGAATATCCCCATTTTTTTCAACATTCCTTACATAAATCCATGATTATTTGCCTTCTTCAATCAATTTAAACCCAACAAAATAGCATACATATACTCATATCATTTTTACAGAATCCATAACTGCAAATAAAATTAAAATGTTAAATAGTTTATTTAAGTATATATCAAAGTAATATGAAAATAATTATCATATTTAAATTATTAAAGTAACCACATTGCATTATCAATCATGGAAAAACCATAACAGATAATGGTTATACTGTCATTTCACATGGAAGATAACGAATGTAGTGTCGTTCTACACTACAAATAACGGTTGGAGTGTCGTTCTGCATTACAGATCGTCTAATAGCTGCGGACAACACATAAATACGCCAAATTCAAAAATAAAAATCAACTAAAGTATCATTTCATACTATATTCAAAATAAAAGTACCAAAAATGAGATTTCTAAAAATACATTTCTTTTTTCTTCAAATATATTAGAGATTTTAATGTAGATAATATAGAAACCAACATTCTTTTTAAATGCTCAAAATATTAGAAAAGATAGGTGAAGAATATAATGAATAATAAGATTTTAGGGTAGCAAGTACAGGGAGAGCACATTGATGCGATTTGGAGATGAATTGAGGAATTTGATTGAATTGGAGGGAGTGTTTGGGTCTTTTCCATGGTGAAGGCGTTTTGGACATTTGATATTATTTGTTTATTATATTTTGTAATTGAAGGCTATTTGACCAACAAACATTGGAAGAAAGGTATTTAATCAAATGCATTGTTTGAATGAATTATTTAACAAACTCTCCCTAAATTCTTCTACTCTTAAAATGAACTGATATAAAAAAAATACTAATTAGATACGTAACTATATAGTATCAAAAATTACAGTCCACATATTGAACTCGGTATTTGAATAAAACAAGAAAAATTATACTTAAGATAATTATGAACTCAATATAATAAAAAGGTATACCATAACTAAAATAATGAATATATCATGTTACAATTGTTACTATTATAAAAAAAATCACTTCAATTTTAAACAATGCAAAAAAATAAAAATAAAACTCGAATTGTAAAGAATGACCACTGATTCATCAAATTAAACCACAGCTTAACTTGAAGTTTTTTATTCATAGAAAGTCCAATTTACAAAGACTAACGTGTACCAACATCTGAAATGAAACAACCTAATATTAGGGGAGAGAAAAAAAGTAGGAACTAGTCCTGATTTCTTAGGGTTATAGTCTAAAGTTTTAACTAATTAATAACCAAATTATGATTTTTAGGTTTTGTATTTTTTTCGCCCGCTTAAAATTTGTAAATAAAAAATCGATTTCATTCGACTATTCAAGGTTCTAGTTTAGGAACCAAAAATCGAATCAAACCCAATCAGTTATTGGTTCTCGGTTCTGATTCCTAATTTATTTTTTGGAAATTGAATTGGAACACCCGATTTCAATTTGATTTCGATTCGGGAGATTTGGTTCTAGTTAAAATTGTCCAGACCTATAATGTCATGTTACACGCTAGTAGTAAATAAAAAATTAAGAGCATATTTGACATATAAAAATAAAGGTCTTTTTATGTTGAAAACAAATTAAAATTAAATTTTTAATATATTGTGATAGAAGTTTTTGAAATTTGATTTTAATTTGAAATAAATGGGGTCTAAATAAAAGTTCCGTATGTAAAAATAAGTAAATGGATGAAGTGACAACTCGTTTGTTTCCCATTATTTTTGAACACAAGAATTAATTTTGTGACTTTTTTTTCCCCAACACATGAGTCCCACTTGTGAGATAGCAAGTCAAAAGTTGCGGATGTTGCAGTGACGGTTGGAAAAGTTATTAAAATGAGGTAAAAAATTGGAAACAAAGGCTGAGTCTTGGGTTTATCTGCACGTCGATCAATTTTCAATTCCTCAAATTGAATGCTCTGAAACCCTGAGCAGAGCAGCCAGACATCAGTTGTCCTACCCTCTAATTGCTTCGCACAAAATGCTTAAATCCTCGGATGAGAGTGAGAAAAAGGTAAGTTTTTTCACTTCGAATTTCTAAGTTTTAAGACTAGCCCATTAGTCAACTTAACAAAATAAACTTACCCTTTAGTTCAAAATTATTTCCGTGTACCTCATGAATAGTATATAAATTTACTGGAATTTTGTTATAATTTTGTTTATTTTTACTTGGATTTGTATAGAACTTGGCTAGGAAGGTTAAAGATTCAGAAATTGGTGTCCCAATTGTGTACGGTAATATCGCATTTTGGCTTGGGAAGAAGGCGAGCGAGTAAGTTACTTTTTCTATTCTTTTCTTGCCTTAGTTGATGGTATTGAAATAGCTTGCGAAATGTTTGATGATTTGCTTCTTTGAACATTTAGTTCTTTTTTCGTTTTATGGTTAGGTACCAGTCTCATAAATGGACGGTTTATGTTCGCGGAGCAGGAAATGAGGACCTGGGCGTGGTGATAAAGCGTGCTGTTTTCCAATTGCATTCCAGTTTTAATAACCCAACTAGGATTGTTGAAAGCCCTCCTTTCGAGTTATCTGAGTCCGGATGGGGTGAATTTGAAATTATCATCACTCTTCATTTCCACAGTGACGTTACTGATAATCCATTGCACTTGTGAGCTGCATTCTTAGTTATCTCTGTGTGTGTGTACGTCCATGGCCCAATCAATGCTGCTTAGAACTGCAATTACGGCTAGCAACATAGATCTCAGCGTTAGAGTTGGAATGATGTCATTGTGGTTTAGGCCTCAATTTCAAACTTTACTTATGAGTTTGCTGATATTAATCTTTTAGCTTAAATGCAATGACTAATGAATAGGCTTCTTCATTTTCATGGGTGTCCCTGTAAAATGTTGAGATTGAATGTGAAAGGATGAATTGCATACAGGTATCATCATTTGAAGTTATACCCAGGGGATGAGTCTGGTCCTATGTCCACTAAGAAGCCTGTTGTCGTGGAATCCTATGATGAAATTGTTTTCCTTGAGCCTTCAGAGGGTTTCTTATCACGTGTGAAAAATCACCCTGCAGTTATTGTGCCTAGACTACCTGCCGACATTATTTTGCCTCCTGGTGTGTTTTTTTTTTTTATTGGTGGTTAAAATATTTTTCCATTCACCATACTTCAACATTTTTTTGTGCTCGTCTATAGTGCCAATGGAGGATGTTGACAAAAGGAAGAGAGGTGATGCCAATGATCATCCCTTGAGCCAGTGGTTTGACAATTTTTCTGAGGCAGATGAACTATTAATACTTGCTGGTGCTCGCCAACAGGTCTCTTAATGGATTTAATCGTGCTTCTAATTTTTCTTGTTGAGATATCCCTGTCCATGATTGTCCTGAAAATCATCTACTTGTTATCTTTATGCTGACAAAATATCCAAGAATTTTACCTCCAAAACTGTATGCATTAGGAAGCGAACCCTTCGCAGGCAGTGGAAATTAATCAATACACATAATATAAAATTTAGGGAAGGATGAATATAATCAGAAAAGAGTCAAATTTATCCCAAGATGTCTTTATATGAAATCACACTTGGTAGAAAAAAGAGTTTTGAATAGTGATTTTTAGGAGAATGTACACTTAAAAGTAGGAAAAAATTTTGGTACATGTGTAGAATATTTTATTGTATGAATGTGTGGTCTAAAATGATCTTGTAGTAAACAATAAAGAGACATACTATGTGTACATAGGTGTACACATGGGGGTTGACATAATGTGAGTGGGGTGGGACCCCACTCACATTATGTCAACTCATATGGATCAATCTATGTACACATAGATTAATCCAACAATAAAATAAAGAACCATGTTAGATGTACACACTTGATTCACATTAAGTTTCACATCCCCTCACATGGGGGTGGGGCCCACAATCCCCATGTGAGAGGGATGTGAAATTTAATGTAAGTCAAGTGTGTACATTTAGCTTTATTGTAAAATAAATTAAGGATTGTCAAACAGACACTCAATAGAAAAAGACAAGTTATAGCTGTGGATCCAATTCGTATGCCCTTTGGCTTATACGCAGATCTGTCTGCAGATCTTAGCCCATAGTGATGCAGAAATTGGGATCCAAGATGAAATCTAATTTTCCCAGTTTTATTGGAATAAGAACTATATAGGAGAAGTGGAAAAGAAACATTAGGTGTAATCAACCAAATGAGTTTCAAATTTTTGAGAGGAAATTATTGAAGGACCAAAGTAATGACATAAAATGAGAAGTGCCCTTCTTTTAAAATTTTCACAAAGTAGCAATCATTCTTTAATTTATCTTTCCTACTCGAAAATTTTTCCTCTGTTTTAAGACAAAATATTTCTCCTTTCTTCATTTTTAGCTTTATTGCTGAAACACATGTTCTTATGTAGGCAATTATGGAAGCGAGTAAATGTAGGAAATAAAATTTCGAAGTTCGAGTTTTGAGTTTTTTTATATATATGAAGACAGAGGAAGAATAAAATAAAACTTCTACAGAATTTCTATTAACTTGACCTGGTCAAGTAGAGGGTCAAGTTATTCGGCTTGTTCATATCAAGGTAAACTGACATATTAGTAACAAAGCTTAGAGGAATGTCTTTTTTCATCTTGGCATTTAAAAATGATCATTTCAGAAAGTTCCTAAATATTTAGATATTCAATGGACTTGGAGCTTTCAGATATCACATTTTTTGAGGGGCTTGATGACAACTGCCATTAGAGCAATTTTTAACCTGTTAATATTAGAACTTATAATAAAAATATTGCCACATAATCATTTATCGTGTTAAATGACATTTGATGTGTTGTAAAAAAATGAGTGGAGGGAAAACTGTTTTTTTTTTTTTTTTTTTTTTTTTTTTTTGAACTGTCAAATGACAATTTGCGTGTACACCAAACAGAACTGTTTTAGTATTTTCTACTCATATCATAATATGAAAACATTCACTTTCAATTTATTCTGAGCAAATTATTACATCCCTAATAATCGTTAGAGTATGTGACATCCTTAGCTTTGTTTCTCTTAAATTTTTCCAATTCTGTGGGAAAAGTATTGTTCGTTTGACATTTCACTTGAATGCCGCAGGTGCAAGCTCAAATTGCGAGACTCAGAAGGCAGTTGAGTTTGGTGGACGGGCAGCCTCCACAGCTGAAAGCTGCCTCCGACCTGTAAACGCGCATTATATCTCATGCAATGCATTAAATCTCATGACACCAAAAGATTGACTGATCGAGAATATTCTTAATGTGAGATTCTTGTAATGTTAATTCACTACACCAAGGAGAACTTTGTACTTGTTCCATTTTCTTGCCAGATGAGAAAGCTTCGGCATATTTATATGAAAGTACTGGAAAATGTAATGCTATTGATGAAACGTATGTATATAGCAGAGTTTTATTTGAGAGTTTGCTTAAGGTTCGGACTGCATTATGTCGTATAGTTGAACTATGTGCTCAAAGACCCTTTTAGAGTATGCATTTCTTGTTATGAAGTTATTTTACATTCTGGAATTTGCTCTTTTGTGATTTCACTAGGCTCAAGCCGCTCAACACTGTCATCTCACGATCAGAGAATTTGTTTGAACGGTCCAGATTCTCTGTTGAGTGTTGCCATCTGATGACACGAAGGATATCTGACTTTTCTCTTCATATGTACCTGTAAATGCCACAAGTTTACAACTTGGTTAAGCCTAAAAATAATGCATATGCTGTGAACAAGGTTCTAAAGCTTTCATTTGTTTACAGCTTGTATTGCTGAGGGTACCAGGTATAAGTTCTTATTCTTAATTCCCACAAATTATTTTAATAACATGTTATTCATTAATGTTGTGTGTCGTCCACACAGCTATTCCCAATTCATTAATATCGCTTAAATCGTAAACTATAAACAATGAACTAAGTCTTCTTGCAGTTTGTTACACATTGGTGTATAAAAGTGGATCGAACCGCCCAGCTGGCCAGTAAAAGTAGCATAGACTCATTGTTAAGAGTGGTCATGCCGGGCATGACGCTATGGCTTCCAGGCTCGTTGGTGTTGACCTGGGCAGCCCGACCCATGCAAAGAGCTCATTGTTGGGTCAGCTCACCTGTGAAGAGTGGTCGTGTTGAGCTTTACACTTATGGCTTGTAGACTCGTGGCTCTTGGCTTGCACCGTGCATAACAAGTAATTAAATAAAAGAATAAAATTGAATACAAAAAACCAACACAATAATAACTTCGGTCCAACGCAAGACTTTTGAGAAGTGAACTGATTCTTAGCAGTAAGGTTGGAGAAAGATAGGAAAGGTGATTTCAACATATTTCTAACCAAGCATGATGCTATCGCTACAAAAAAAAATTTATTGAGCCGATAGATTTGAAAAGACAAATTGCTTATCTTTTCTTCCATAAGAAATAATAGTAGTAGTGAACGCGTTATTTATTTCTTATTGCTTGTAGTTATAAATCCCCTCTCTGATTAGAAATCTAAAGAGCAAATACGAATTTTAGTGTATATGTACCAGATCGAGAATGACGGGCTCGATTCAATTAAGATTACTATCTTTAACTAGTTAATAATCATTCTATGTCGATTTTTATTCAAGTTCACATGATCTAGGAATTCCAGGTGATCTTAGAATAAGAATGTATTTAGTACAAGGAAGTTAAGGTGACGATTGAAGTAGTTAGGAGTGATTGCATAGGGCCTTAGTATAGTAACATTTTAGAAGAAGAGTAACATGGGGTTCATGTGCAATACGTATTGCTGGGTCGCCATCAATTCAAAAAGGAAAATTCGTTTTATGATTTTGTTTTTGCAGGGCACCACATTTTTAGGGACCATGTGCACCGCCTTCATCTTTTTCATCCTCCTATTTCGAATCTTTAATGATTTATTATTTATAAGTATTAATTTACTTGCGGGATTCGACGTCGACTCGAGTAGGTAGATTATCTGAAATGCCTTTCTCTATATTAGTAAATTTTGTTTACTCGACACATATATCGCCGTCGGTTTGTTTATAATAAATGAACAACGGGTGCAACAATTTTCTTGATTGAACATGGTCGCGTGTACTTTGAAGGAAGAAGATTAGACATAACTAAAAATTAATATGATATATTTTCCAATCTTAGCACTTTGGGTACCTTTACAATATAAGTCGGTATTAAGGATGAGTTCTACCCAAAGTGATTGTTACAATTGGCATCAAAACAGACACTCTTTTTAGGGTATCCTCGTTGATAAGAGTGACATGTGGAGGGCTATTTCCATTATAAGATTGATTCGGTATAGTCGCTTAGTCGAAGAGAAGTGGAATATTACGATATAATTATATCTCATGCAGTGTGCAAAATATTGCAGAAAGTTACATCAAAGTAAAATAAAAAGGGGGATGCGAAGCATTAGCTTTTTTAGATGGATTTCTCAGCCTTGGAACATGCAGAGATACAGGTATTCGGGACATTCGAGTGGTGCTCAAATGACTGTTTCCAATATTTGGTGGTGTTGTAGGCCCTTTTTGCTGCTAATTTCAATGAACAATGCTACCACATGGGTTACTTTCAATAGGAGGACCACATGGGTTAGCCCCATTTTTCTCCAACAGGCCTCCATATTCCAGCCGTACCTTCTTAGTGTTGCTACCAGATTGTCACTCGATATAGATTTAAGAATTAGAATGAGATTTTTTTTATTTTTTTTGTGGAAAAACATCCTTATTTTACTTTGAATTCTTAATAAATATTTTATCTATTATGAACTCTTTAATTGGGTTGAGATTTGTTGACCCTATTTGGCTGAAGTCGTGAACTGCTGTACTAGTTGCAAATAGCAAGACGCCACATAATATCGGACACGTTACATTTGAAATGTCGTATAAATATTTGTTAGCGAGAGTTAATGTTAGGGCAGTCAATATTTTGATAGTAGGACAGTTAACGGACAACCAAACGGCGACAACAGTTCCTAAATCATCCTAACTCTCACTAAAAAAATCATAATGGAGAAAAATGATTTATTAAGATTAGAAATTAACCCTTTTGTCGAGTATCATTTATCTCTACGAGAAGAAATTAAAATCTTGCATATATGAAGGCCTTAATATTGCCTATGCATCTTGTAAACTTCTCGACAAAAATAGTATAATTTTGCAAGTGCAAGAGTGGGTTTAATACACAGGTATGAATGTTAAGTCAAGAAACTTCACAACAATCGGTTCACAAGTACGTATCAAGAATCAAAATCATAACAAGAGGTCGTGAAGAACAAGAACAACCTAGGAACAACACAGCATCATGGTACAAAGTTACTACTTAGACTAGTCGATCAAAACGAGGGAAAAAGAACAACTAAAAGATTCAAACTTTTTAAATTAATATAAACATACATTAGTCAATCTGGAACCATTATTGTTGGCAGAAATGAAAAGGGCCAGAAGTTATCGAATCCTGCGGATGGGCACATGGATTCCTGCAAATTTTGACATATATATGGATCCTATTCTTCATTATCTCAAGAATCACAAGTCCAACAATCACAAAAGACCAAACTCTTTCCAATGAGGATATATGAATTCGTACTTTTCAGTACACTTTAGTTGTAGTCCGTGATTTGCAATGGATTCTTTTCATGCACACACTTCTATAAGAAAAATTTGACAGTCGATATATGCATACGGAAAAAGCTTCTCTGCCAAAAAAGGGTCACCCACCTGGGTGACCGACCCTCACAAGCTGGTGGGACCGACATGGGGCCCGGCTGAAATAAAAAATGAAAAAAAGCCCCCCCCCCAAATGTGTGTATTCTGAGCTCAGTCCATATGCATACATGATATAATTATTTGTTCAAATCATGACACCTCGAAAATGGAATTGATAAAAGAGGAACAAGGTGGATGAACGGACCCAATCAACGTCTGAAATGTCATGATTTCAGTGTACAACGCAATCTTTTTAAATAAGTCATACATCACCTGTGGAAGAACATGGCTAGAGCCTAGAGGGTTTATAATCATGCTAGGGGTATTTTCTTCTTAAGGCGAGTTATATGTATAAAAAGTGCTTATATGTGTGAATATGGATGATATTAGAAGATAAATCTCTTCTTGAATGACCCGCTATAAACGAGTGAGTGTTACTTTCAATAAAAAAATTAATTCTGTAAAGTCTTTCGACTAGAGAAAATGGACCGTTATGGTCGTCAATTTTAAAGGCGGGTAGATATTATACTTCCTGTCCGATTTTAAAGGTTCAAAAAATCAATTATACTATTTGTGTATTATTTATATACAACTTGGATGACATTTGAATAGATGGCAAAATCGAGATCATTGATTGTTTTTAATGTTGGAGAAATCAATGATAAAATTGTGTGTCACATTGTACAATATAAAGCAACATTTCAACAGGAATGCATGAGTAACATGATTGAACAAAAATAGTGGCAACCACTCATAGATATCGAACAAGAAATTTGTTGAAAAATTACAGTTGAGACAGAATGTTGGAAATAGAAACAAGTACTGTACAAAGTCTGATGTTGAAACTTGAAACCGACTTTCATCAGTGAAGGCCAAGTCTGAGGCTAATATGAATACTATTAAATTTTTCTGCCTTTTTTTATCAAAACATAAAGAGGATTTTTCGCTTCAATGTTGAAACAAAATATTACCTAATTAAACATTATTATCCCATGAAGCAATTCAAGATTATAAGAGAACCAACACACAACATTATACCCAATGGGTTTAGGGTCCCACATTGTCCTTTCTCAAAGCCCAAAAAACCCATGGGCTGTCCTTTACCCCCAACCCCACCCACCCCTTCAAACTTTCTTCATAAATACCTTCACAACCCTCTATCCTCATCACCACCATTTTCACTTTTCAACCTCTTCTCATTCAAACTTTCTTGTCTAAGAAACATATTTTTCTCCAGATGGCAATCAAAAAAACATCAAACAAACTGCCACAAAAAGCAGTTTTGAAGCAAATTCTCAAAAGATGCTCAAGCTTAGGCAAGAAACAAGGGTATAATGATGAAGATGGGCTTCCGTTCGACGTACCGAAAGGCCATTTTGCAGTTTATGTTGGTGAAAACAGAAGCAGATACATAGTTCCCATATCTTTCTTGTCTCACCCTGAATTCCAGTGCCTTCTTCGTCGAGCCGAAGAAGAATTTGGATTCGATCA